AATTGAGATTTTTTTTATTTTTCTTTTTTATTTATTTTTTTTTTTTTTTTACCTCGAACGTCGAGACGTTGAATAAATGGTGATCGTCACTATGACGCTCGTGTTTAATGGGAAACCATCCTGTGGACAAATTTACGCACATACCGGGTTTATCGAATATTTATTTCCTTTTTACAAACGTTCGACATAGAAAAAAAAAAACGAACAAAAACAAATAAAAAAAAGTTAACTAATATTCCGATAATAAAATAAAATTATGAAAGAAAGAAGTAAATCAAAAGAAAAAAAAGAAAAAAAAATGATACAAACGAATCGAATCGAATTGAGAATGTTGTAAAATATTGATATTAAAATTGTACAAAAATGGACATTTATCAAAACGAGAAAAAAAAAAATGAATGCCTGAATCGCGCGTTGGAAAGGTGAGTATGTAATTTGTAAAAAAAAAAAAAAAAGAAAAAAAAATGTGTAATACGAATCGAATGAAATTGGAGAACACTATACCGGTTACAATTTTTATCGGTTGCATTGGCAATGCATTCGCAATAATGGTAATAAAAAAAAAAAAACCAAACAGAACAGGGAGGTTTCGATAAATCAATCTGTTCGAAACTTTAGAACGGTAGAAAATGAATGTCCAATCATGTAATATTACAATTATACATAGAATATAAATAGAATGGTTAAGTAAGGTATTCAGTTTGTAAAGTTTGTAAATTAAGAAAAATGTGTGTTTCAAATTTAGACGTATTGGTCCATCGTATTCCTTAATTACCTCGATTTGGCACGATCGTAGAACATTGGTCGATTTCTCTCTATGTGTGTGTGTTTTATTATTTTTTAATAAGAAAATTTACAATGTTCCACTGTGTCTAATCATCAAATATGTACCATCCACTTGTTTAAATAAAGTTACAACAACTTACACTCGTGAAAAGTTTGACATATCAACTGTCAACTTATTTTTCTTCTTCTTAAATATTTCACTTTGAATTAACGTAAGTATTATATAAAACAATAATAATAATAATACTAAAAAAAAAAAAAAAAGAAACCGGATAAAAAAGGGGGGAAAAAATCCACAAACACACACACACACACACACACTACTCCCTTGTCCCCCGAGTTAAAAAAAAAAAAATAGAAAAATGTAAATCACACGATCACTGTTTTAAATCGAAATAATTGATTGACTGTATTTAACACGATTTATTTTATTTATATTTTTTTTGTTTAAAGATAATGTATAAGAGCAAGTGATGTATAATGTGACGGGATTGGTTGATGTACACGAGCAGAAAGAGAGAGAGAGATACACGTGGTGCCACGACGTGCGCCCACGGTAGACTGGCGTTCGTTCGTCCGTCTGACTCGTTCCTGACTCTCCCTACTTGGTGGAAGGCTGACTAGGTGGGTGGGTGGTTGGTTGGTTGGTTGGTTGGCCGGGTGGCTGGCTGGCTGGCTGGTTGGTTGGTTGGTTGGTTGGTTGGTTGGTGCCACCGTTGCCTTTCTCATTCACCTTCCTACCTTCCTTCCTTCCTTCCTTGTTTCCTTCCTTGCTTCCTTGTTTCATTGCTTTACTTACCTTGCTTGTTGCTTGCATGCCTACCTGTCTGTCTGTCTGTCTGTTTGTCGGTCTGACTGTCTCTGACCACTGGACGGTCCTTGCACTATGCTTTGTTCATTCCTGTTTGTCCTTCTTGTCTTTTCTACTCTTGACACTTTAACGTATACACCTATGTACACCTTTCTACTTTGTTTTCTTGTTTAATATATTCTATACTAACTTATGAGAATATATATGTATATATTCTTTTTCTATTATTTTTGATCTATGTGTCTGTGTGTGGGTGAGTGAGTGATTTTTTTTGGTTTGAAATTAAATATACTCGTTTGGTTTTTATTTATTATGTATGTAGGATAATAGTTTTGTTTTTTTTTCTTTTTTTGTAAATAAGTTTATCATATAATATTATATTATTATAATACAATAATATAATATATTATAATATATATTTATTATATAATATGTAATTTATAATATAATATAAATTATAAAATATTAATAATATTACATAATATTATATAATATGAAAGTAATATAATTTTATTCAGTCAAATTTATCAGTTAAACAACAACAACAATAATTTTGAAATAATTTCAAGATATATCATATGCTAATACGTAACTCGTGTGTGTGTGTGTGTGTGTGTGTATTCAAACTTTTGGGGTCGTTAGTTTGTAATATATTAAAAAATAGAATAATAAATTCATAAAACATTATTTTAATTGTAACAAATTATTATTATTATTTTTGTTGTAATAATTTTAGTTCTATCTTTAATATAAATACGCAGAGATTATTTCTGGTTCCTCGATTTTATGTTTTCAATTTTGTTGTTGTTGTTGTTCTTCTTTTCTTCTACTTTGTTTTTATTTTTATTTTTTTTTTTTTATATTCAAAACACTTCTCTAGGTCGTATATTTACGCTTATGCATAACTACTGTTACAACTTTTTTCCCCCACCATCACTTCCCTTACCGTATGTGAGTTTTATTTTTGATATCCATCTGTTGTTCTTCCAAAGATGAAAGAGAGAGAGAGAGAGAGAGAGAGAGAGAGAGAGTCTCTTCGAGTACAACGTTACGTTTTGTTAAAACATACAAAAAATATGCAGGTGTACGTTGATTTCGTTTAATGCTTTGCAGTTAAATATATATTCTATATTTTTCTATGATTTTTCTCTCGCTCTCTTTCTCTTTCTTTCTTTCTCTCTCTCTCTCTGTCTCTCTCTCTCTCTCTCGCTTTGTTTATACAACCTGAGTCTCGGATTTTCGTTTATTTCACGATATATGTGTTTTCGATATCGTCGATCCCGTACAAATTCCGTGAAAATATTACTACGAATTTTTACGTAATACTTGGGAATAGGTGTACGCACATAGATGCACATGCATGCATGCATGCATGCACGTGTGTACATGAGTGTGTACGAATAAATATATATATATACAGAAATACCTAGCGATGATGATTATTATTCGCGCAACCGTTCTCCCATAATACAATTTTTCCCGTAATTCGATCTGTTTTATATACATATATATATATATATATATAGCAAATAAAATATAATTTGTATGTATTACGTGTTCAAATTAAGAAAACAAACGAAATATTAGCAAATGACCATTCGAATAAATTTTCTTTTGTGATATACATATATGGAAATTTATATATATATATATGTATTGAACGTCAAAAAGCAGTTGATATTTTATTTATATTTTATTTCTTTTTTTTTTTTTTTTTTTTTTTTATAACGAACGATTAACATCGATGATTCTTTTACGTCGACTGAAATCTGTATTTTTCTCGGCCGAGTGAATTGAAAGCGGATTAAACTCTTGACAATTGGTTTTTGCTAAATGGTACAAGCGGAAAAATGCGTTTAATCGTGTTAAAGTAACTTGTACGAAACAATTGTACGTTAAATAAAAGGTTATAAAAAAGAAAAAAAAGGAGAGAGAAATCAAATGAAAAAAAAAAAAAAAATAAAATAAAAAAGAACAGAACTCAATGTAATATTGTATCAATCAATTAATTGAGAGAAATATTATTTGAAAGTTTTTGTTAATTTACGAGAGTATTCGAAATTTATTTCAAAAATTATTCCTTGTCTAAGGTAACCATAAGTTGTTAAAAAAAGAAAAATTCATATGTCGTATTTAAAAAAAAAAAATGGGTTTGGGTTACATTTATAGTTTTTATACAAGGGTTGAATGGTTCACCAATTATTAGTATTTAAATATTATTGTTATATGTTATAATATATTTCAATTATATTATAATAAATATATATATTATTCTATTATATTATATTATTATATTATATTATATTATATTATTATATTTATTGAATAATATAATATTAATATTTTTTTATAAAAAATATTTTAAAATATTTAATTTACCTATATACTTATATTTATTTTAATTAAATTATTATTACTTATATTTAATTTACCATTTATATATATATATATATATATATATATAGGTAAATATAAATATTTTATTTTTTAAAATATTTTCATTTATATTATTTAATATTTTTTAATATTTATATTTAATTAATTAATTATATTTAATTAATATTTATATTTTTAATATTTAATATGTTTTATAAAGTTAATCTTTTATAAAGTTCTAAAGTTAATCTTTATAAAGTTATCTATTTAGATATAATTTTTTCCAAGATAAATAAAAAAATAAGGTGAAACATCAAATCTCGAATTGAGATGTTTCTCGTGTTTGACACAGTCAGCAAAGAAACTAAAATAAGTTTTAAAACGAAAAAAGATCTAACATAAGTTGTCCCAAGGCCGACTAAAGCTCCTATAAGCGAAATAGAAGAATGGTTGCTTTCGACGCAGGACGGCAGCAAACCGCCCTCTTAGAATCGGCCCATGGCTATCCCGATAAAATATTACGAGCTAAATCTTCCATGATATGTGGGAGATATATACATGTGTGTGTGTGTTGTATATGTGTAGGTTTGTTAGTAGTAACGTGTGCTATGTGTTACCAGTTCGAAAAAGAATTATGACTTCGTGTTCTGCAAACAAATATAAATATTTTTGCGAAATCGTATTTTTGGTGGGGTTGAAGAGAGGTGTGGGTGGTGTGGGGTGTAGGGTAGGGGTAGGGGTAGGGGTAGGTGGTGGTGTGGTGGGAGGTATCATCGATCTTTCATAAATATTTATATATCCATTCGGATTACCATAATTTTAATCTTTTACATATTTTTTTTTTTGTTTTTTTTTTTTTCATTCTTTCTTTTTTTTTCATTTTTTTTTACTTTTTTTTTTTTAATGTATCATAATACAAATTTATTTTGCATGACATTATATAGATAACACGTTATACAAATGAACAGAACAAAAAAATATATTAGATGACTATAATGGCAAATAATGGACTTCCTATTGTAGATAGAAAAGATGATGATCTAACCAACACTAACTCATTTAAAAATGCGCTTTAATGAAGATCTTGATTAAAAAGCACCGACTCATTCGATCCTTTCAAGTAATCTGTCTTTATTATGGCATGTATTATAGTGTTTCGTGTTCGTTGCAACCTATATGCATATATATAGAACTAAAGGATGACAATTGATTTTATGAACAAAAATTAGTAATTTAATATTTTGATGTTATATATATATTTTTTTCTATAATAAACATAAATAGCTGTTGTTTTACACGAATGAAATTGAAACAAAAATAATTCAACTTTTGTCCATTAAATGTGAATAGCTGTTAACACAAAACATACACAAATGAAATTGAAACAAATGAAATTAATTAATTGAGTATAAATTTGACGATAGAACAATAATGAGAATCGATTAAAGTATCAATAATTTATTTCTATACGTAAGTAAAACAAATTTTATTAAATTTAAACGCTTTGGGATAAAGTGGTAATGAAAAATTGTTCAAGTACTTTTTCTACAAAAAAAAAAAAATAAAAAAAGAAAAAAAAACTAAGAAAAAGAAAAAAAAAAAAGATCGTTTCTCTCGAACGTAGATTATAATAAATCGGATCGAGGTTTAAATTGATTTTACGTCGTCGTAGAAACGATCGAACGAAGATTTGAAGGTGATAGAATTTTGTCGATAAAATCGATTGCTTCGGGACGCAAAAAAGAATATAGAAAAGAAGTGGTAATAATAATAGTGGTAGTAGTAGTAGTAGTAGTAGTAATAGTAGTAGTAGTAGTAGTAGTATTGATTCAATAAACACAAATAGTATATCACGATAAAATAATATTGATAATATTAATCAAATAGATATTATTTCATTAATATCAATCAATATTATCTGAATGATATTACATATGAATGATATTGTATAAATAAAAGTAAATATTATTACGACAATATTAATTTTAGATAAATCCAATATTTGTTATATACTTTTGATAAAGATAATGAAAAATATATATATATATNTA